ACGTGACTTGAGGTGAGTTCAACTCCGTTGGAAAGAAGACACTTAAACGAAATCATCTGACGTAAAGGCGAATACACGTACAACTATACGTGGTTAACGGAGCGGCGGTTAGCTCTGCATCGTGGGAGTTTGTGCTTAAATAAAGATCCCAATTTTTCAAATAACCTTCCCCGGTACATGGCGTCCGTCTGGTGTTAAGACCCGTTTCGTGCGAATAGGATTGTGCGTTGAAGGTAATCGACGCATGAGAGAGAGAGAGAGAGAGACACGATTGCGCGAGCGCTCAGGAAGGTTTGAGCGGATGGTAGCGCGAGATCGTGAGCAGTACGCCCTCTACTGGGGAAAAACGAAATTACTTCGACTTTTTTTCTTATAAATTGTTAAGTTTATTGTAAAACGGGCCGAAAGCGATAGTTATTAGTAAGTAGAAGTGATTTTAGGTCGTTCGGACTAATCAGGTGTTAACCCATTTCAGCCATAGTTTGGTGGATAAAGAGGGGATTGAAGCACCTGAACAACGATAAAAGCAGAGAGCGAGACCCAAGCGTGCAGTCCAGAAAATATTAGCTAGGCGGAACAAGCAAACAGCAGGCTCCGATCTTAGGTAGGATATTTTTATAATATTTATAGATAATTTGCGGAGACTGCACGTGTTCATAATCTCGCGAGTTTGTGCCTTATAAAAAGGAGGCATTAAGGGTAGTTACACTAAATAATGTATACCCCGCTCATACCTTGGGTGATAGGAGGCGGTAGTGGTCGATTAGATCGATAATTTTAAACCTCGACCGCATCCTACACCCGTGCGGAGACAAGATGGCTCTGTTGTCAGCTCAAATCGACAATTGGTCATTAGAGCTGAACTCCGCACAGCGCGAACGCTACTTGGCGGATTTAGTGCTTCGCGAGGATGGAAGTGTCACCCAGCAGGCGACTAGGCTTGAAAGATGGTTGTTAGGAGAGTACACCGTCACGAATTTTGAAGAGACCACGCGCAGTAAAGAGGTGGCGGAGCGTAGGAGGCGCAACCGACAAATGTGGGTCGATACAGTCTGTGACGAGTTGGAAAACCTCAACGCAGAAGAGAACAGCGACCATCCCCTGAGGATCATCAACAGGGAGAGAATATCCTTGACAGATATGTCAAGGACATTCGCCTGCCCGGATGAGGACTCTGAGGGTGAAGCCCGCCGCCAAGAAGAGGATGAACTCATCCAGAAGGCCCTCTACACCCAGAAGCAGGAAGAGAGGGAGAGGAGACGGAGCAATCCGGATCTCAGTTCGCAGGAATTCTGTACCCGGAAGGAGCCTCAGGGAGAATTATCCTTGAGTGAAACCTTCCGGGAAATAGAGTACCTGAAGGAGGGAGTCGACCGCAACCACAAGCTAGTAGGTTGAATCCTAGAAACCCTTCAGACTCTGCAGGGAATACAGGTGTGTGCGGAGCGCGAGGCACAGGACATGCGCTAAAGAATATGAGCGCTGGAAGACGGAATGCATGAAATGGCCAATTCTAGCCGTTCTTCTCAGCGCGACTCGGTTCAACCGCGCTCCAGACGTAATGTGGACTTTCAGGACACATTCACCTGTCACTATGACTCTGGGATTCCGGGAAGCACACCGGCTCCTCTAAGACCAGTACCCAGGAGAAGGGACGTCACCCCACCGGAAGCCCTCTATAGAAGAGAAGGTGAAGAGGATCCGGAGGAGTATGGAAGATCCGCACCTCTTTGACAGAGGAGTCGAAGCGGATCGTCTGGCACCGGTCCTCAATTATCCTCAGGGCTCTCCACAACCCAAGATGTTGGGAAAATCGTCCTTGGATGGAAATTGAGGTTTGCAGACAGTAGGGCACAGAGCGTGGATACGTTTTTGTCAAGGTTGGAAGATCTGCGCATGGGCGCAGGGCTGACTGATGACGAGGTACTTTGTTCCATATCAGAGATCTTCGAAGGTAACACGAGGACCTGGTACGATAACAATAAGTACCAGTGGCTCAGTTATGCAGAATTCGTCGCTGACGCCCGAGATTGGTTCGGCACTAGTACGCAACAGCAACAAAGGCTGTTGCAGGAAGCCCAGAACCGGTTCCAGGGTGAGAACGAATTAGTGCGGGACTATGTATCCAACCTGATGGCTCTTGTCAACAGACTGAAACCACTAATACCCTTGGAGAGGTTATTAGACCTGTGACAAAATTCTCTTTTTGTCACCAATTCTTTTGCGGGGTAAGTGAGGTACTTTTGCTCACGGTAATTGAGGGAGAAAAGAGAGGGGAGGTCAATAAATAAATTATACATAGACAGAAATCAAATCAAACTTACAACCTATTATTATTAATAACTATTCACATTAAATATACGCGCTCATAATATAATATAAATTATTAACTAACTAACTACGAAATAGAACAAAGAACGATTTAAGTTAATCACAAATGAATATTTCACGGTCCATCCTAACTAATAACTAATCACACACCTAACCTATTACAAATTTACTTAAGAATTACGCAAACCTATACCGGATGAATTGCCCGGCACGTGGGCGCCTTGACAATTCGCCGGTCGCAGCTACCACCAATACCAATTAAAATTAAGCGCAAACCTCTAGATAGCCAGCACGTGAATGTCTGGCTATCTTATTAAATGCGCACCGGTCGTCGTATCACCAGAGAGAAAGAGAGAGTGTAGAGAGAAAGAGAGATTCAGAAAAGAACAAAGAACCTTGACCTTGTTGTTCTTGCCTACTCGGTCAAGAGCTGCAATCGGTGAGGTTGCAATCCCAGAAGAGCTGCCATAGATGGCGGGGTCATTTTCTGAGGAGACCTGCAACCGCGGCGAGATCGCTGTCCTGGGGAGCAGTAGAAGCTGTGGACGCTGCTGTCCCGAAAGGCTGTGATGGTTGACAAGGCTGCTGCCCTCGAGTTGTCCAACGGGAACGACGATAAGCTGGTCACTCTTCTCTGCCAATCAAGAGTGTTGACTTCAAATACACTCTTTCCTGGCTCTCTCTTTCTTTCTCACTGTTGGAAACTGGAATGGACTCGCGCACGAATTTTTCACACGCTAATCGTCTCGCGGCCGCTCAGCGGCGCTCGCTCCTATCCCTTCACCTATTAGTTAGGCGGCACGCGACGCGCCGCTTATCGGTCACGTGTCGCGCGCCTGCCTATCCCTGCATAGGCCTAATGCTCGCTCTCTCTCTCTTTCTCACTCTCTCCGCGCTCCTCAACTTTTCTTGCGCTCAGCTCCGCTAGCCTGTCCTTGGCGCTAAAACAAAAAGGCTGAGTGTTAGGCGCATACTTTAATGCGCCCAACGTTGGCCACCACACCTTGCCTAGTGGAGAAGGAGGGAGAAACGCAGACGAGAAGCCGGCGCACGGCCTGCTCTCGTCACAAACCTACTCCATGCAAACCTCCTTCCAAACATCCAAATTCAGCTGCGTCGGAGCGAGTTGACGTCGATATGCGAATTCAACAGGAGGGCGACCGAAGTACAAAACACCTTATCTTACGGTCGTCGTCCACGTGTATTCGCCGACCCCAACAGGACGATTTTCCTTCAGCACGCTTACCAGCCGAGCAAAAGAACAGCTGGTAGTAAATCTCAAACCGCTGCAATGGTTAGCGAAGGGAAGGTGCGTGCGAAGAAGGAGGAAGATCCGCAGCGTGGACAGGGCATGGAGAACCCTGCCAGGAGGCCTACCGAACAAGCGACGGTATCGGCCATGCAAGCTTCCACTTCTGATAAGAAGATGGAGGAACGTCTGGAGGGCATCGAACGGATGCTACGCAAGTTGGCCAATGAAAAGGCAGGACAGCCCTCCAGAACAGCATAAAAGCCGATAGCGTGGAGGAAGGAAAAATTCTCCTTCTCCCAGGTCTCCTGGCGAGCAGCGAGAAGGACAGAGGCGGAAGATCGACTTCACGAAGCTTCTCCAGTGTTCCGCTTGTGGCAAACTAGGATTCAGCCGTAAATTCTGCCCAGACTATAACAAGGAAAACGGCAAGGAGATCGAAGAGAAAAGGTCATCTTCACGCCTCCAGTAGATTCGACTTCTCGCTGCGGGTCGTCGATGGGAAACAGCAAGTTGTCGGCGACCCAGGGATCCAAACAAATCCTGAAAGGGCATCAAGGGAGCCCAGGATCTAGTGGTATGTTGGAGCAGAAGGCGATCGAGCCCGATGCCAGCCCTCGGCAAAATAGGGGAGTGGTTATCCTGGAAGTACCAGATGGCCACATACAGGTTGTGGAGGAGGGGGAAGACTCGATTGATGTGTGGATCGAACAACCCGAAGACCTGAAAGGTTCGGGCCTCTCCACACAAAAAGCTCCTCTGCCGAAGGAATCCACGAGTAGAAACAAGCCTATCGTCGTTGCAGCAGTGGAAGGAAAAAAGCCGCTGAAAAGCACGACGAAGGGAGGCAAAGATGCGACTCGTGGATATGACCCAGAGGATGAGACCGGGTGGTGGTTGCGGATAGACATAGGTGACTTTAAAATTAGAGCACTCTATGATACCGGCGCCTCATCCACGGTCATGGGTCAATTAGGGCTGAGATTGGCATCGGAGATGGGATTGAATGTGACCAGGGCAGGCGATGCAAGGCTCGCTGATGGGCGCCCATGCCCTATAATTGGTCACGTGATGTTTCCCTTTAAGCCTTATGTGCACAGCCGGGCACCCGGGTGCCCATCACGTCACGTTTGTGTCAATAACTTTTGGAAAAATTTTTTTTTCTGATCTGAGCTCCCGCTTCCCCATGATTTAACTTATTTAGAAGATAACCGTATAGTTAAATGTTATAAAAAATTTTTTTTTGCACATAAATTTATTAGTTGAAAAAGAGTAACCGCAGGGCACAACCAGGGACCCGGGTACCCACTAGAGAAAAATGTATTTACTGACTTGTAAATAAGTTCTATAATTAATTATTATGAAGGAGACAATATAGGTAGATAAATAAATAATTATAATTGTTTAAAAGATGGAAAAATAGATTTTATTATCATTCTACACATTCAAAACACAATACTTTCGCTGATGAATGTTCATCGTACACAGGTTTTTCACAGTTAGCACAACATTTTCGAGTTTTTCTACGCCTTTTGATTGTTTCGCGGTAACACAAGTGACAAGAACCTGTTACTTTGATCCTACCTGTACTATCACGAGCTACAGTTTCTTTTTCGACAATCGGAGTAGCAGCAAGCTCAACTCCGAGAACGTCCTCGATCGCATTTTTCGCCCAATGGTGACGCATATCTTGCATGTTGGAAGAGCGATCCTCGATAAACGGTTTAGCAATTTCTTCACTCAGCTGGCGCAAGAAAATACGTCGCTGATTCGTTTTTTTTGTAACATATTGTTATTTTCGTGGTAAATTACATACGCCGCAAGTGCTCCAACATCTAAAATATTGAAGAACATTGCAAGTGGACACCTCTGCGTTCGTCGATGACAAGTGTAACGACTAACCATTTGATCCATCGTATCAACGCCTGATTTATATCTATTATAATACGTAATCATGTTCGGTTTTTTTCTCGTCGTCGTTTACAGTAGCATCGTAGTGCATGGCTGACATTAAAATTACAGCTTTATTTTTTTTCGGTACATACGAGCAAAGTGCAACGTTGCGTTCGTGAAAACCAAAGAGAGAAGAGTATTCAGGCCTTACTTTATTAGCAGCCATTTCTTTAGGGATATAAGGTTTATTCTTCCTCAAAGTTCCTGTAATAGTCAATTTCCATGAGAGCAAGTGTTTGGCAAGTGGCAGAGTAGTGAAATAATTATCCATTGTTATATTCCTACCACTATTTTTGAATGGAGCTGCCAGCTCTTTCACAACTCTCTCTCCTTGATTTTTTTCACGAACGTTGCCAATTTTTTCCGTGTAAATAATTCCTTTCAAAGGATAAGCGTTTTCAGTATCGCAAATGCACCAAATTTTTATTCCGTATTTTGCTGGCTTTGAAGGAATATACTGAGTAAATTTCGTGTGTCCGCGATATGGATACAACTGCTCGTCAATAGTCAAATTTTCGGTTGGCTTATACAACTTAGCCAAATTTGAATTGAACATTTTCCATACATCTCGAATAGGAACAGCTTTGTCTTGCTCTGATCTTTCTTGACGAGTGTTTGCATCCTCAAAACGAATGAATCGCAATATAGCACGAAACCTATTTATGCCCATTGCTGCACGATATAAAGGATATGAAGTGCTTTTCCACATTTCGCTGGTGTGATCTGTGTTAGAATTATTTGCTCCTGAGCATATCAAAATTCCAATAAACGCATACATTTCTTGCATGGTCACGGGACGCCACGATCGATTCGATTCCGGATTATTTACATTATAGTTTTCAAACACGGCTTTTGCTTTCTGATTTGTACAACGGACAATTATGTCGACAATTTCAACTGTAATAATCTTTTTTAATGTATTTCCTACCGACAAAGTACCTGTAGATCTAAACGGCCCGCTTCTTTGTCGCAGAACATTGTGAGTAGCTACTTGATGAATATCGGGTGGAGTTTTGCTCCAAACTGTTTTGTCTTTTGCTATATATTCAGTAGCATTTTCCGTAACTACTTGTTCTCCTCTCGTCGGTATACCTGAAGAGAGACCTATTCTCGTCTTCACTTTGCTCAGATTCACTGCTCTCCTCTCCCTCCCTTTCGGACTCCCCGCCAGTAGTTGCTGGATCATAGTCAGTGTCTGTTGCTGCGTTTATAGTTTCTCTCGGTAGCCAGTTTTCATCATCGCTGTCATCGTCGCATTCCGAGGAATCATTGGCGTCTCCAAGCAGATTGTTGATGTACGCATGCTTTCTTGCACGAGTCAATCTAAATTCAATACATTTTTATGTTGAAAAACTGTCACGAAAATAGAAGGAAACTTGATAATTATACTAGGACACAAGTCTTACCTTGAGAACTCGGAACGTGATAGATGCTTTTGCATGATATAAATATCAAGCACTGCTCACGAAATAACAATAAAAAAACACTCAACAATGCCTCTTCAATTGTAATAAGTTTCAAACATAAAGTCAGCGTCGTTTTTACCCTAGACGTTGCTTGGCGCACAACGGTACTCCTGAGTTTGCTTGCGAAGCGCGTCCGCTCCCCTTCGCTAGAAACGAATGACTGAGTCATAGATGCTACAGAGATCTCAGATGGCTATAGTAATGAAGGTATACCACCTTACTATCCCTCATGAAAACATTGCGAACAGCTGTCGACCGCCGAATGCGAAAGCTGACCGAGCACCACCAGCTGAGTACCCAAAATCTTTGCTCCGATTTATTCTCAAAGCTACTAAACTGTACTGTGCAACTCGGAAATTGGTCAAATACATTTAATTTATGTTAATTTATTCAAAAAAATAGATTGCACATGATTTCAAACATATTTATACTTAAAAGGTCATGAAAGCTGGGTACCCGGGTACCTCGGTTGTGCATTAGTGTGGGAAAAGCTGATTATACACGTAAGGGTTATGGTAGGAGGAATCACGAAAGAAATCAGAGATCACCATTACGCCACTGCTCACGGATGACTGCTACGTAGGCGCGAACTTTATAAGAGACTTCCGCGCAGCTTTGGATCCCGATGAGGATGAATTATGGCTTAAGGACACCCAGGTGAAAGTACCAATGGAAGTGGCTGGAATTGATGGTACGGCATTTCTCGCACCGGTAGGACTTTGGGAGGCCACGGAGACACAACTGGAAGAAATAGAAGACCTCGTTAGAAGATTGATTCCTGACGGAGGTCAGGCTTTAGGCTGTGCCGTGGGGGTTGAGCATGAAATAGATGTTGGAGGTGCTCGACCCATCAAACAGAAGTACTACCCAATTTCTGATAGAGTGCGAGAGGAAATGCACGCGCTGGTCAAAGTTATGCTGTAAAAAGATGTAATCGAACTAGCGACCAGCGGATGGTCAAGTCCAATACTAATGGTAAAGAAGGCTGATGGAAAATATAGGTTTTGCGTGAATTGCCAAAAGGTAAATGCGATTACCAAACCTGATGCCTACCCTTTACCATATATGAACGACATCTTCAGAAGAATAAGGGATGCAAAGTTCATATCTACGCTGAACTTGAGCAGTGCGTACCATCAGATTCCCCTAAAGGAAGAATCGCGTCCGATATCAGTATTTACAGTACCTGGATTAGGGCGCTTTCAATTTAAGAGAATGCCCTTCGGACTGTCATACGCAGGGGCGACCTTCCAAAGATTGATGGACAAGGTGATAGGCCCGGATATGGATCCATTTGCTTTTGCTTACCTCGACGACGTAATTGTGGTTTCGACTTTTGAGGAGCATAAGCGGCACCTAGAAATAGTATTAAAGAGAATTCTAGGTGCGGGCCTAACCATCAACAAAGCCAAAAGCCACTTCTGCAAGACGGAAGTCAGGTACTTGGGAGTTCTTGTGAACCAGGACGGAGTAAGACCAGATCCCGAGAAGATACGACCGATATTGGAATATCCAACAGCCCGGACTGTCAAACAGGTGAAACGATTCATGGGAATGACCTCGTAGTATAGACGTTTTATACCCGACCTTGCCATGATCGCTGAACCTATAAACCGTCTAACAAAGAAGAATGTACGTTTCTCTTGGGAGGAGGAGCAAGAACGAGCTTTCACGAGATTGCAGGAGGCGATGACTTCCACCCCAATATTGCAATCACCCAATCCTAGCGTCAATTTATACTGCAAACTGATGCCAGTGATAGTGGGATCGGGGCAGTTCTCACGCAGGATGTCGATGGAGAGGAGCGTGTAATAGAATACGCCAGTCGATCACTCAACAGCGCTGAGAGGAATTATACGGTCTCCGAGAAAGAGTGCTTGGCAGTGGTATGGGCTACTGAAAAGTTCCGGTCGTACATTGAAGGGCATCACTTCAAGGTCATCACCGATCATAGTTGCCTGAAATGGCTCCACAATATGAGAAATCCCACGGGAAGACTAGCGCGATGGGCGCTATCATTGCAAGGCAATGTCTTCGATATTGAATATCGAAGGGGGCATCTCAATATGGTACCAGACGCATTGTCTAGAGCCTATGAGGAGGAGGGGACCGAAGTGACTGCCATAAATAGCCGGCCGGAGACCACTGACGTCTGGTATTTGCAACAATACCAGGAAGTATGCCAAGACCCATACTCTCATCCTACTTGGAAGATAGTGGGAAGGAGACTATATCACTATCAACCTGATGAGGACGGTGAAGGGTCCATCGATAACGATGAAGCGTGGAAGCTTGCGGTGCCTAGGGAGAAAAGGGACCAGGTGCTCCAGGAGGTTCATGATGCTCCTACAGCAGGACATCAAGGACGAGAGCGTGCGTTTTCCAGGGCTAGGCGCTTGTACTACTGGCCTAAGATGTATGATCAGGTCAGGGAGTACGTAAAGAGTTGCCCGGTATGTCAGCAGTGCAAGGTGGAACAAAGAGCATCTTGCGGGCTGATGGGTCGTAGACAACTGTCACGACCCTGGCAGATGGTGGCCGGTGATATCACTGGTCCGTTTCCCAAAAGCTCTCGAGGTTTTAAGTACATATTAGTCTTTGTAGACTTATTTACTCTCTAGATAGAGTGCGTTGCGATACGCAAAGCCAATGGGAGGACAATCGCTAGGGAATCACACGAGAGGATTGTGACTAGGTTTGGCGCGCCAAAGGTATTCTTGTCGGATAATGGTACCGAATTCAAGAATCAGGAGGTCGATTCATTCCTTCAAATGAACGGCATCCAGCGCGCCTTGATGCCCATGTATCATCCCTAAACGAATCGCACTCGGTAACTCATAGCGCCACTAGATATAGTCCTGCGATGCTCATGTTTGGACGTCAGCCGGTATCTCCTTTGACGTTCAGAAGAACCCAAGATCAGCAGGCCCTTGAATGTTCGGAGGGTCAAGCTATGGTAGATTGGGCTGAACATATGGATAAGCTCCCTAATTTATGGGAGAGGGCCAACTCCAAGTCAAAGGAGGAAGCTGCGAGTCAGGCGGCTTATTATGACCGGAAGAGACGGCAACCCGAGTTTATGGTCGAAGATTGGGTTTGGAAGAGGAACAGGATTCTCTCGTCGGCTGCCCAAGGTATTTCAGCCAAATTGGCTCCGAAATATGCCGGTTCGTACGTAATTGAAGAGGTTTGTGGTTCCAACACGAACAGACTAGGCAATCAGCTGGAGATCCTGCTCGAGCTCTTCCATACCAAAGACCTTAAGCCGTACTATGGTCCGGGTGATGAATAGGAAAGCGAGAAGGTCATCGATCCTCGCAAGCCGCAAAACGAACAGCCGTCGGAGGCGAAAGATTACGCGAACGCGTGCGAAGATCCGGGGAGGGATTTATCAAATGAGCGCATCGAATTAGCAGCCCCCACGGCCGTAGATAATAATCCCACCGAGACATCGGATTTGCCGGTATCTGCCCCAACCAAGAGAGGTCGAGGTCGACCTCGAAAGGTCCCAGAGACGGTCACCGGTCAAGTAAGAGGTAACAACTCTTCCTTAAAGGAATCTAGAGGGAGAGGTAGGCCTCGAAAGGCCGTGCCCGTCGTGCAAAGGATGGTTGGGCCGATAAACCCGAACGGAAACCGACGAGGGCCAGGACGTTCCCGCAAAGAATCGCGAGGGAAGGCATAACTCGGTGGGATGCGGCGTTTAATAGGATTTTTCTTCGCGCAGGGAGTTTCATTCGAGATTTTTTGTTTTGGATGTTTCAGATGGACCGGAGAATCGTCGTTAAGGAAGGGACCTTCGAGGTGGTCACGCAGATGTTATTGGATCTGCAGCTGGGCCCTGATGCATCGTAGTTGATAGAAGATCTGCGGAACTTCGCCAGGATCCAGTTGGTCGGGACCACCCGAAGGGAGTGCCACAACGCTTCGGTGGCGGACGTTCTCCGGGACGCATCGTGCCCTATAAAAATAAATAGAAAAAAATAAATAAAAACCTTCAAAATTAGCTCAACTCGTGGAAAATTATAGTAAATAAAAGCAAATTAATACATATGGCGTTTCCACTTCTAAAAGACACTTGCTCGTCTATCAAATTTAACGATAAGTACATTTTACAAAATAATCATGTAAAATATTTAGGTAAAAACCTAGATCAGAGGCTTATATGACATGTTTGAAAGAACATACAGAGTGTTTCAAAAGTCCCGGAATTGTCCAAAAACTCGAATAGAGTGTGTTTCACGGAAAAAAGTTTTAGATAAAATTTACAGTGTTGATGAACCGATTACGTTTAAATTAAATTAATCAAATTAATTAAATTAATCATTAATTAAATTAATTATTACATGAATGTAGTTTTTGTAAAAGAAAATAAAGATACATTGAAGTGACCAAGAAAATGAACTTCAACGTCAAAGTTGAGTTCACTAGGAAATATTCCCTTCAAAATCCCGTAACATTAGTCTGAAACAATTTTTTTTAAACCGTATTATTGTAAGATCATCTATATAAATAAATTTAACAAAATAATATTGAGATCCGTATGATCTTGACAATTATCTTGAAGATTTTCTTGAACTCTACATACAGGGTGTTCCAGACCACCCGTACACCCCCTCTAGAATCCAAAATAATGGATTAATCAAAAACTGCTTCAGACAAAAGTTGCTGGGCTTCGAGGGGGACATATCCGTACGACCTTGGATTTGACCTTGGAGGTCATGTTCAAGTTTATTTCAAGGTCAACTTTGTTTTTTTAAATAGGAACCCCCATTTTTGACCCCGGATTCGGAAAGAGCGGGAAATTTTACGTCCAAAACGGTATTTTTAAATTTTTTTTCATGGCCTTGAGAAGGTCGATTTAAGGTCAAATGCTTGAAAAACTGCCTAAAAGCGTTTTTTTAATTTTTAAGATATCGAAAAATGACCTCTACAAAATTTGTTCAGAACAGAGTGGGCCACCCAATGCACCAAAAACCTTTGACCTTTAACCTCATTTTGAAGGTCATTCCAAGGTCGAAGTGTTTTTTGTAATGGAAACCCCTCTTTTTGACCCCGGATTCGCACATAGCGCGAAACTCAACACAATACCTTATCCAAACGTCGGATTTCGCGCTATGTGCGTATCCGTGGTTAAAAAGAGGGATTTCCATTACAAAAAACACTTCGACCTTGAAATGACCTTCAAAATGAGGTTAAAGGTCAAAGGTTTTTGGTGCATTGGGTGGCCCACTCTGTTCTGAACAAATTTTGTAGAGGTCATTTTTCTTAAAAAATTAAAAAAATCTTAAAAATTAAAAAAACGCTTTTAGACAGTTTTTCAAGCATTTGACCTTAAATCGACCTTCTCAAGGCCATGAAAAAAAATTTAAAAATACCGTTTTGGACGTAAAATTTCTCGCTCTTTCCGAATCCGGGGTCAAAAATGGGGGTTCCTATTTAAAAAAACAAAGTTGACCTTGAAATGACCTTGAACATGACCTCCAAGGTCAAAGCCAAGGTCGTACGGATATGTCCCCCTCGAAGCCCAGCAACTTTTGTCTGAAGCAGTTTTTGATTAATCCATTATTTTGGATTCTAGAGGGGGTGTACGGGTGGTCTGGAACACCCTGTATAATAGATTATTTAAATTTAGAATTTTTCGTCGATTCCGAATCTGGAGTTCCTATTTAAAAGATGAAACTTGACCTTGAAATCATCTTAAAAAATAACTCAGGTCAAAATCAAGATCATTACGGTGTTCATCAATGAATTTATAATGTCTTAAAAAATAATAAATTTCTTTTAAAAATTAGAATAACATAAGTATTTCAACATTCTTAACACAAATATAATTTTCGTAAAGCACTACCGCCCACCAGTTTATCAGTCTAGTTTATCAAGAGACTCATTATTTGTATGTATTTAGTGATATTTAAAGTTTTGAATATACAAAATCTGCTTGTTTGTAATAGATTTTGTAATAGATATTATCTGTAATAGATATTAGTAATTTAAAGATGCTTCAAAAAGTGATAGTGATACATAAAAATATATTTCTTCACAAGTAATTTCAAAAAATTTATCAAAATTGGTTGAAAATTAAGCAGGAGACAGTAGAAATTATGAAAAAAAGATTCAACATTTTCCTACTGTGCGACTGATGCATAACTGCATTTGGTTAAATAGAGTTTCAGGACGCCAAACTTGCAAGCGAATACACATTGCCACTTTAATACGACCAAGCTTCTTGACCAAATATTTAGGTAAAATAGTGTATTACTGAAAAATTCCATTCCCGGAAGAGTCGAATGTTAGTATCAAAGAATTTTTAGAAAGAGTTGAAGAAAACTGCTGCTTGGACCGTATCGCGGAGAATAAATTGCTTAATTCCTTATCAACTCTCTTAAAATCCCCTGATCTTCTATGATACTGTTTCCTTATACTAAGCTATAAATTGAATAATGAATTTAAAGAGACCACGCTTACCGCATACAGTAAATCGCGCAAATTCAAGAGTAATCTTTTGGTCGAGGCGCATTTTCGCACTCAATGCTCTGACGAACCTAGGAGAGATTATCATGTAGTTCTCAGCGCAATTTTCATTCAATTTGAGTGCCCGATGTTGTGTCAATAACTAGCAAAGTTAAAAATAGTGCTCTCACCTTGATTTTTGAATCTATTCCAGGTGATTCGTTAGCGTTGGCCACGAAACAAATGATTGAGCGCAAGTGATTATGCCAAAATCAACTAAAATTAAGAATCAAGATCCTATTTTGAAAAACTACTTTGTTGAGACTGTAATTCGTCCGGCTATATCAACGCTCATATTCAGAGTACTTTAAGATAGCTTTTGAAAAAAAACGTGCTGAGGAGCGCGTATATCAGGTTCCTATCGCTTCAATGTGATTCTATGTGTCTTTTTGTGATATAGACACTTTATCTAGGACTTTTCCACTTTTCGGTATACGCTCTTCTCTCAATGTGATGATCTTACATGTGAACATTCTCAATCAGGTCTTGAAAACGAACTCTATTCACTTAGAGCATCAGCTTTTATCTTTTAAAATGAAGTACCAAATTCGTCATAGAAATCACGCAACGAGAGCAAACCTAGAGCATTGATCCTTGGTTAGGGCTCGTCGTCGAACTAGATCAGTGGCGTTTTCTACACAATAGCATCTATAGAGTTTCTGCTCATTCTGGAACGCTTTAACCACAACCCCGCACAGTCCAACCCATTTCTGGGACTGAGAAGAAAAAATTATGCGTTCAAATTAAGAAAAACCTTCTGGGCTTGTAGTTCCACCCTTCGTACTTGTGTTCGACTTACAACTTCCTATTTCGACACACTTACATGTATCTCCCTAGTGTGTTTCCTGGTCGCCAGATGCGTTGGTACATAGCCCAAGTATTTATAGTCAGAGATTTTCTAAGGTTTCGTTATTATGCTTTTTCGACACTTCGTGCGCAAAGTGCGTCTTTTCTGCTCGCTCAGCAGAAAACGTGCATTAAAAATTGCACTTTCCATACGTCGTATTAAAAAATACGATACGGCACATGTTCAAGAAAGAGTTTCTCGTCTCGTGTAAATTTCCACCCTCGCTTCGTTCAGGCGTAAACGCCACATGAGACAAGATTTTCCCGCACTTGTATCGTAATTTACTATTTCCATATGTTATATGGTCAGGATGTTTTCATCTCTTTTCAAGTGATTCTTACACTTTCTATTGTGTTTGCTACTATCTTAGAGTTGACCAGTGTAGATAGTATTCTCTAGTGCTTTTTTTAAAGTATTGTCATCATTTTGATGTTATGAACGTATTTTTCATTTCGTGTCTGGTGATGTTCTTTGCCTTTTTATTCGTTTAAAGTTCGAACTCCTCTATCTTATGCTTTCTAAAAGTTCTATGTGTTTTCTTGCGAAATCGCTGAACCTTCTGAAAATCTCTTTGCTTGAAACTATAACTTGTTTAGGGCAGAGTCATTTCTGATACTCTTTTTTGATCGTGTCTATTAAAGGTTTTCTTGAATCTTTCTCAATATGACAGAAGAAAAGAACATGCCTTGAAGTTTGTATTCTTCCACAGCTGTACTTAAGAGTCTTGCTTGAGGTTATCTTGTGTAGGTAAGACTTAAAGGCTCCAATTTTAGTTAAAAACTAGGTGGCGTAGTGGTCTAGATTCAGATAATTTTTCTCTATTCTGTTTTTGATTGAAGAAAATAAACTATGAGTCGTTCCGCCTTTCTCATCCGAATCCCATTTCTCTTTCCAGATCCTGTTCATTCCAGATTTTCTTATCAATCATGAGTTCTTTCTTGATATCGATTCTGCCAGAACTTAATTCATCAGATTATATTCTAAGATTGAAAAGTAATACATACATTTTTCCCTTTTCTGACGCAGAATTTGGCAACCTTTCTGTCCAGCTCGAGATTGATTGGACATGTGGCAGCGAGAGTCCGCATAGTAGCCAGAGAGGTTCCTTTATAAGCCATTATGGTCCATTTCAGCGCTTGGCATTGAGCTGAGTTCAATGCCTTTCGAGTCTTGCAATCTGATCTGGGTTACCAACTTGCTTCGGTATATGTTAGCTTGGGTAGGAAGAAACCTTTATATATATGATATATCGATTTGAACTTGAATTTCCAAATTGCTCTTGCAATGTTTCTTATTGCATTGTAAGTTTGGTCACAGGTTTCTCTCACAATTTTAGCTTGGCTCAGTACCTTGTAGCTCCTTTCAAGTGTTAATTTAAGATATTTGATCGTTTCTTTCATCTTTACGTTTTCTGTTTCAATCTTAACTGTTGAGTGCCTTGTTTAGCTCAAACTTCCTGTCAATAATACAAGACCTAATTTTTCTGCCGCTAGTTTCATCTCGTCTAACCTGCACCAGCCTGTTATTATTCTTATGACTTCTTGTTCCTATCTTTCAAAATCCAATCTATAGTTCGCCTTTATGATGGATATTACGTTGTC